AGAGAGATGGAAAGAAGGACAGATAGATAGATACATCAACCGATAGATGGATACATAGGCAGAAAGATCGATAGATCGATAGAAAGGTACAACTAGACCAGGCTAGATTCGATTAGAACTGATATGATTAGGTTACATTGAAGTAAGATCAGATTACAAAGGTTAGATTAGATGGATTGGTCGACAGATGGTTGAGTGGCTACATAGATAGACAGACAGATAGATGGCCAGCTGGATAGAGGGAAAGATGGACAGATTGATGGATGGATGGATGGATGGATGGATGGATCTCGATCGATGGATGTATATATGAACGGATAGATAGATCGATCAGCAGATTCCGGTAGACCGGCTTGCACACAATAAATATGAGCAATTTTACCAACGTTGTTGTTGACTTGTTTATGTCAACGCATCTACGCATACGCATGTAAATTTTGTAGCTATATTCAGAACTGTAGTCATTCATATCGACAGAAGGGTATCATGGGTAAATTTGGACATGCATGCAGGTTTAAATACAAAGACGAGATCGATGTAGATGTGGACACCGATAGGTGTAGGAATACAGATACAGACAGACATACCTATGCAGATATGAGAAGGTGTGTATATGTATATACACACATGCAGGTAACAATGGAAACAGATACAGATCAGTGTGTAGAACAGTCTATCTACAATCGCAGATAATCGTACATTAGCACTGATGGTTGATATGTTACGAAACAGTTGCCGCATCTATGTTGAGGTTAGGGTTTTCTTTCGTTATCGAGCTACATTACTGCTTTCCCTGAGACCCGAAGTGATGGTGTCGGATTGGTACGCTGCCGCGAGAAAGCAAACCGCATTAGGCTGACTCCCATCCCCATCGACCTACACCCAAACCCACGCGCCTACCTATGAAGCAGCACTTAAGTGGTGCGAGGCTCGCTCCCTGCAAGATGCAGGCAGTGGGAAATGTACTTAGCTTAGGATCCTACCTTCGCAGCATGCTTGGTAACTCGGGTTCTTACACATTTGCACTTCAGACAGACATTGGAGAGAGAAATTCATGCTTGCACGCCCAAAACCCTCTCCAGATCATAATTGCTCTTAGTGCATGGGGTGAGCTTACCTCATCTCTCCCGAATCCCAATCCAGGACTCTTTTGCCGAAAACCAACGCAATCTTCTTCTTTTCTGCTGCGTCTTCGAAGGCCACTTCAGGAGCTGGTCACCTGCTTTAGTATATTGTAGTCTAATATAGCATATTTTAGTTTTCCAATATATTATAATAATAGCTGTATGTATCCCTGACGTGCGTCTTGGGAAAGGTGCGTTTCGAGTGCAGGGTAGGGACCCCCTGCATAGTGCCTGAAAGGCTTCGAAGCGGTTCATCTGGTTCCAAGCCAAGCTTCCAGAGTTCGACAGTGTTATAGAGGGTTCGGGGCTGTTTGGTTTCAGGGCTTTTAAGTTGAAGTCAGCATGTAATTGTAGGAGCATCGCTTTAGCCAACTCATATTCGCTGGATAGTCCATTTCTGAATCATAGCATTCAGTCTTGCTGGCACAGCTGTAGCCCCTTGAAGAACAATTATGTCTTGTGGCAAGTGTTCCCAAACCATTTCAGCAAGCACACTTTGAATGTCTTTACAAAGACGGTGAAGCCTGGACTCGTGCAGTCTGAAGCCATGTTAGGCAGAGTACGATGCTGATTCTCATGCTCTTGGCTAGATCCCTCAGCATGATGTGTCATTTCACTTAGGATGGTCATGTGCCGCACAATCGTCACTGGCAGCGGCTCTATGCAATCTGCCGAATACAAAATAGGGACATCCCTGCCCGGGATCCCAGCATTGCTTGCTGTAGTCGCGACCCAAGCCATCACGATGTGCCCGAGTGGTGAAGCTTTCTGGAACGTCTTTACGTTAGCGAGCTGAAGCCTTGGGCGACCCTTGTCGAAACCTGCTTGAAAACCCCTCAACGACAGTCATGCACGAAGAGCTCGTGAGACACACTTCGATCTTGACGTGTCAACCCCCTCAATAGGTCAAGCTCAGCCAAGACGAGCAGCGCTAGGCGAAGAACTGGGAAGCATGTCCTGCCACTGGCTCGGAAACAACGTGAAGCTAGTGTGCCGTGGACTCTCGAATCACTATTGTGCGCCCACTATTTCGGGCCGCCGATCACTCCAAAATCATAAGTTTGCAGGCCGCCGATCACTCCAAAATCACTACAGTATTTCAACCCTCCCAATCACTCCAAACTCACTTTCCGCAGCTCACGATCGCGAGTTCACGACTTCTAAACCACTGCTTGCAGAGATCTCGAACACCATTTCAGCCATTCACGATCGCTGCATTATATTCCGCTACCGGGAAAAGTATTCCCTGGAAGATAGCACTGCCACCGATCACTCCAACGTCACTATCTCATTCTGTCAGGGTGGGGCTGATAGCAGCTTCAGGGACCGGGAGGGGGCTGAAGGATTTCTTGGAAATCCTTCAGGCCGTGGGGTGGGTCCTTCTGAAGCATCTGTCCAGGCACGGATTAGGGTTTAGGGCAGGGTTTCGGGAAATCCCAGCAAACCTGAAAGGTTAGGTTCGATGGCACTCTCCAGACAGAGGCGAAGGATGCAACAGAGACTCGGAGATGCGCTGTGGGCTGTCCTCTTCGGGCCGGGCCGCTGCTGTTGCACAGGGGAGCTCCTGCATGTCTGCAATTCTCGTGTGATGCACTAGCTCTCCTGGGCCCAGCGGTCAAGGCTGGGTCACGAAGTCACAAGCACGCCGCCAGGCCCAAGCAGTCCTGCAACACACTCTCGTGCTGACTCGCGCTGGTCAGCACCTCTGTGATTTCCCTCCCACGCTTGACGATGTTGGCGAAATCCGAGCACTTTCCTTTCAAGAGGACGGCGCCGATGCCCGAGACCTCCACTGAACAGGCTGCAGAGAAATCTTGGGTCTGCGAATCGAAACCGCTTTCGCAACAAGAGAGGAACTTTTGGGCTCTACTTCCCAAGATGCAGAACAGACAGAACATGTTCTCGAGTCGCACCTGCGCTGCTAGTCAGGGTACAGGGAAAACACGTGGGGCTGAGAAGGCTCCCTGCAGGCGAAGAACATGCCCTCCACGTCCCTAACCTGGAGGCCTACTGAGACTTGCACAACCTTCCAATGAAAACCCTCGTTTTGACTACCCCGATACCCGCCCTGGGGGTTCAGGGTCGAGGGTGTCCCACAGCCTCCAGTCCAAGCATACCACGTCGCTGCCTTAATACAGAAGCAGTTCTTGCAGTACTAAACTAAGAGTGTCTGAATAATCTGTCAGAGGAGCGCTTGTAGTTGCTCGAGTTTGCTGTGCTTTCGTGCAGGCCTTGTCCTACTGTACTCATCGTCTTCCCGAGCGGCCGGGCTCTCAGTACGAATCAAGCGACATGGACTTCCTGTGGACTGCATGCGTAAAGTGCAGATTGAAAGAACAGGTAACTAGGCCCCAAAAGCTTGAAAACACGTAGCAGAACTCTCACGTATTGTAAAGATAACCTACAGCACCCTTACGAAAAAACCAACCGAGCTCTTAACCTTGGTAAAATTCCTAAGGACACCTTCTGAAACCCTTTTGAAATCCCTTTTCGAAACTCTCTTAAACCCCGAAGCCGCGGCTCGGGCCAAGTCGACCCGCTCCGTCAATCTGTAGATCCGGCCGCCTGGCTCCTTGCGCTCGAGGCGATGCTTGGGGTTTAAGGCTTTCGGCTTCAGGTTCAGGGTCGATTCAGGGGCATAAACTCATAAACCCAGCTTGCTTTAGTTTTGCGGAGTCTTGTGCATCAGCGGGCAGGGGGGGGGGGCAAGGGGTGGTGCTACCTCTGAATACGCCCCACGCACTTCTCTAGGAAATCGGGACACTTAGCTGCACCTGTGTGTATGCATGTATGAAAGTTTGCGGTGCCTGCAGACATGTATGTATGTGTATGTGTGTATGGATGCGTATGTGTCCCTGCATGTGTGTGTGTGTGTGCGTGTGTATGTACGTGTGTACGTAAACGTGTGTGTATGCTACGTATGTACGTATGTATGTATGTATGTGTGTATATATATATATATATATATGCATGTATGTCTCATACGCATGCAGCCACTGCTGTTGACCTCTCGACACTTGTTAGATAAATCAGAGGTCTGTCAGAGTGGACGGGACCCCCTCCCGACCTTCCCTTCGATCTTTGCGGCCTCACCCCAACAGCAACCCTCAAGAATGCAACATGTACAACTTATGCGTTCCTAACCCATGAACCATGAAGATAGCCTAAACCTTAAAATCGCTACCACGCCGGAAAATTCAGGACTTCGGCAACACCGAACATGTGAGCACTCAGCATCAAGTCTGACGGTTCACAAACCGCGTGACGGTGCGAGTCAAGCGAGAAGCAAACCATGATTACAAATAGACCGTAAGCCCAGCAATCCTTAGGTATCCATCAGCTTTTCCTGGATTGTGTTTTTGGTTGATGGCTTGAGTTTAGGAAGTCGGGTAAAGGGCTTATACTTTAGGACCTAAGAGATACCGGTCTTGATGATTTGCAGGGTTCATGGAGCCCCAAAAAAGCGAACCACAAGTGACACCTCGTACTTCGCATCGTTGCAATCGACGTGGCCACATTTGGCAGCCTCACAGAGGAGAAGAGAGCTGGAAGAGGGTCACTCATAAGGTTTCGGTGGAGGGGCCTACTGTACCGTGGGTTGGGGACCCCACATTGCTGACAATCGGGACCTCTTTGGCATAGCCTTACGAATTACTGCAACTCTCGCCGAGTCGAATTCAGGACATCGCTATTTCCCGTCCGGCGTCGAGGAATAGAGTGCTTAGGATTTACGGCGCAGGAGCTGATGCCATGGACTGTTCCAGTGTTTCGGGCTTAGTTTTTTTGTCGGGGAAGCTTCAAAAAGCCTCTCCAAGGGCAACACTGTTCGGGGCATCTTGTCGCGACAAACACACACGTACAAAAACCCAAGCTGCCTCAGACTGCTGAGACCGCAGGCAGTGGGAAGAGCCACCTGCCACAACTAGCGGAGTTCAGGCTTCAAAGCTGCAGCAAACCCGAAAAAGCCCCAGGGTGGCCCTCCCGAAAGGTGCCTCAAAAGTGCGAGAACCAAACCGATGCAGACCCTCTAAACCCTCTGAGGCCCAAAGAAATGCAGAACTAAATCCGACACTTCTATAAACCGCCACACCGACTTTTGCACACCAGAAACACATCTTTGGACTCATCTTCTAGGTGACGGGCCGCCCATGGCACAAAGTCGCAGATCCCGGGGTAAGGAACCCCAACAAGGAACCATGTCAATTAAAAATTGCCTTTACAACCCCTATGGCTCACCCTTACAGGAAGCCTCCCAAAGGGGCGGTAATCATGCGCATGATTGACATCAGCTGAGTTTAGGTTGTAGGTTTGGGCGGAATAGGAAGTAGGATTGGGGTTTAGCGCTTATGTAGGGTTTGAGCTTTAGAAATCGGGGCTCAAGTTGAAGGGCTGACTCTCGCAGCGGATTTGGGTTTTCACGGAAGTTGCAGGGACTGTCAGGGAACATGGCTACCAATTATTCACGCAGCTATCGTACCTAGCCTTCAGGCCCTTTGTCGACAGAACGAAAGTCCAGCAGCCTCCTTCGCCAAGCAACAAAGTCCCAACCTAACCTGCCCTGCAAGCTTAGCGCACATGCGAGTTTCCGAAAATAGGGGCCCTGTTACGGTAACCTGAATAGTATGATCCTTGTTAGGCTGTTAGGATAAGGACCCCAAAATAAGGTATTCGGAAACTCCCACACATGAACCCTGCTAGGTATTCCCTGAACCGGGAGCCTTCACAAGGCCACCCAGCATGAACTAGAAGCCGAAACCATGACACGAAACCCGAAATCCTGAAATCCTGAATCTCCATATCCGGAACCCAGGGTCAGGGTCCCAAGCTAGAGGCACCTCCAGCTCAATCTTCCGCAAACTTCCTGCCATTGTCTTAACTTTGGCTCTGGGGTTCAGGGTGTTGTTTGTTTCGGTCTACAAGGGTTTTGGATTTTGGAACTCCGGTTTAAATTAGGAGGGGGGAAGATTGGGGTTCAGTGCCTCAAAATCTGCAGCCTAAACCAGACAAAAGCCCCGACGCTCCAAACTACTAAACCGATGACCCTACATGGAGAGGTTGGTGCGGTTGGATGACCGCGAGGACTTCGCACTTGCGGAGGCTTCACTGAGTGATCTCACGCAGCGCACTATAGCGGTCTGGACAAAACCTGACGGTATTTATTCCTTAGGGTTGTATCAACCTTCTTCATGGTTCCATGGGAGAATCATAAGGGCCCACGTCCTTAGTGGCTTTCGCCAGTTCCAGGGTTCAGGCTCTGACAGTAAGTGCCTTTATGTTTAGGGCAGTTGCTCATCGTGGCTTTAGTTTCAGGCTAGGCTGTAGGTTCATAGTGCCTGCTTTAGAGTTGACGGTGTAAGGTTTCCGAATTATGTTGCAGAGGTTAAGACTTGCAACCAGGGTTTGCTGTAGGGTTTAAGGTTGAGAGCCTGCTTAGGGTTTATCAAGGTTTAGGGTTTAAGGCATGCAGGAACTTGGGTTTAGTTCATGCTTCGGCTTGATCTGGCAGTGCTTCGCTCAAGGCTTTCTTGCGCTTCGTGCAAGTGTGAGCCTCGGTTTCAAGGTTTCCGGCAAAGGGCTTCAGGGCCTTCGAGTCTGAGTACTGCAATGCTGGCTCTGGGTGTAGGAAAAGGCATAAGCCATTGCAAAAAGCAAGAACGCGTAGCCCTGAACCACGGACATACCATCCGAATCTGGACTCAGAGGCATGCGCAAGCCTGCCTGGATGGAGGTACGGAAAGGACGGGGCTCACCGGGAGTGCCTGGCAATGCTCGAACCTTGCATTTTCCGCCCCATAGCGAACCTGAAGTGCTTGAAACGCCACCATCAGAAGACCAGACAACAACCCCCCCACAATTGCATCAGGACCAACTCTGAAGACCAGTATCATGCTCACAGCCATCACCATCGCCATCATCGTCATCACTGATCCTCACTATGACGACCACATTCGATATCGGCGTGACTGCTATCATCCTCAAATCAACATCATCATCACTAGCATCATCAACATCACCAGCATCCTCATCGGCAGCGGCATGGTCGTCAGCATTATCATCATCACCGTCGTCACCCCCCCCCAACTTCAGCATCATCCTCATCGTCGTCAAAGTGCTGCCTCCACCGCACCAGCACCAGTACCAGCACCAGCACCAGCAGCGGCAGCATCTCAAGCACGATCATCTTCATCATAATCGCAATTCAGGAGTTATTGGCGGAAAGCTTACAAACGGTTGAAGATCCACGCCGAATTATGGACGGAATGTATTTCGGGTGTAACAACCGAGATTTAGAGTTTCAGCTGCAGCCCCCAACCCTGAACCCGAAACTGTAAACCCTAAGGCCCTAAGAGCGAGGCATCGCTTCAGGCTCAGAGCAAAAGGGGCGTCTCTACAGAGCCTTTGAGCGCTTCGATGCCAGTCTGATTTCGCCGGATTGCCGATACCTCTCAAGCCATCATGTCAGGGCTCTGAGGCCCAAAAAGCCACTGGCAGTTTAGAAGTTTAGGGTCAGGGTTCAAGGGTCCAAGGGTTTGGTGGAACAGGAGCGAGGGTCTGCATCTTTGTGTTTAGGGTTTGGGGTTTGCGGGCTTACGCCTAAAGAACCTGACTTCCTTCTGCTCTGCAAAGATGTTGGTGTCTCGAAATCATGCACGACAGCTTTCATCTGCCTTAAACCCCAAACCCTAGACCCCTAAACCCTAAACCGAAGAAACTCTGACGAAAGCAGAGCAAGAAGTTGGACTTCCGTATTTCTTTGAGGCTCTTTGCCCCACCATGTTCACCTAAGTTTGCAACCCGACATAGCTTTCTACTTTGAAGAAGACAAGGCCGAACCAAGAAAGGCATGAAGCCGTCGTACGTACCTGCTTACTTGCTGGCTGCTTCAAGCTTTGCCTCAGACATGCAGACGTGTGAGTATGAAGAGAGAGGGAACGAGAGAGAGATAGAGAGAGAGAGGGAGACATAGATCTAAATATATATATATATATATGTATGCATATATATATATATATATATATATATATATGCATACATATATGTATAACTACATGTATGTGTGTACATATATATATATATATATATACACGTGTATTTCTCTCTCTGGCGGCGTTCTAAGGTGCGTCGTTAAACCCGACTGGGTGGCGCATTGCACGCCCTATAGCCTTTGGAGCTTTAAGCCCCGACCGTTGCCCGACAGCGGAAGCTACCTAGGTACGGCTAAAAATGTGGCGAAGCGGTCTCCTAGCGATGTGACCCACAGGAGTGATGTATATAAATATATGTATATATATATATATATAGATGCATGTATATGTATATTTATGTCTGCACAGACAAATAATCCATACTTGCTCCTGATACGTAAGGACGGAAAGTCGACACTCACCCGTTCCGTTGAACAGGTAATCTCGCAACCGGTACAATAAGCATGCTCCTGTCTTGCGACTCGGAGAAACTACATAGGTGGGTTCACCTAGCCAACGATCCTAAAGCTTATAACAAACCGGAATATTAGTCCAAACCTACGCACTAAGCCCTCCACGTCATCACCCAGAACCGCGCATGAATCCGATGAAGAAGCCCTTCCAATCCCTAATCCGTAGCTCCAAAACTTTGGACGCTTCAGGGCCAACAGTGCTTAACCTGAAAGAACTCTACTCCTCTTAGGTCATCATGACAATCCCTACACCTTGAAATCATGAGCCCAGTTCATCTCGAAGCCCTGCAATCCTGCCTTGTCAAATTAAACTCCTGCACCCAATGATCCCCGACTAAGTCGGAAAGCCTTAAATCGTAAACCTCACGCCCGAAACGTTTTAGGCTGCACTTTGTAGCCCCCAAAACCCTCCAATCCTGGTCCCCAAACCCTAAACAATAACCCCTGAACCCGCGGTCATAAACCCTAATCCCCAGTAAAGACCTGAAGCCTAAACCCGAAACCCCAAACCCCCAAATCTAGACTTGTTACCATACACCCCATAATATTCAATCTTGGTCCAGCCTGCTCCCGCAGCAGCGAAGCCGCGAAACGGCCCAAGCCGACGGCGAGCAGCGCCCCAGCTGCCGAAGCGCCTCGGACCTAGGGTTTGCGGATACTGTTGCTATAGGGTTTAGGGTAAGGTTGCTACAAGGATTCAATATAGGGTTCCGTCAAAAGGGATCTATACATAAGGCTTGTATCATTCATGGGCTGCTTTGATGTGGGGTTTCTTGGTTTTTGTATTACAGGGGACCTTCAGTTAGATGGGCTTTGCTGAAATCTTATATAGGAGCCATATAGGAAAAGAAATACTACGAATTCCGACCCCCATATCAGGGTTCGCTTTTGAGGTTTAGAGTGTGTGCGGATTTAGGCTTCAAGGGTGTAGGGTTTTGCGCCTTGAAGAAGCTCAGCGCTCCATACAAGGTTGGTGTAGCAGCTTAGCATTCAGGACTGAGAGTTCAGGGCTCAGATCTCTTGGGTTCAGGGTCTAAGTACAGAGGCGTTACGGTCACAGGTTGCGGGCTCAGAACTACTTGGCTTTTTCGGCTTAGGTCTAGAGGACTTAAGAGAATCGGACAACACCTACCCTGGCCCTGGCACCAAACGAATGACCTCGATCATTTTTTGGAAAAACCTAAACCCTAAACCGCTTCACTCTAGCCCCTAAAGAAAAGCCTCTGGTGTCAGGCAGAGAGCCACTGGGTTGATTCGGTCGCCCTCGAGCGTGGTGGCCAAGAACAAGCAGTAAAGACTCCTCGGCCAAGGGTTCCGAACTTCCGGCAGCTGCTTTGAGGATAAATTAAAGTTTAAGGTTTAGCGCCAATACGTGGGGAGGGCTGTCAGGGCCTTAAGAATAGTTGGAATACGGCTTTGGTACCATAATATGGAACTTTAAAAAATGTACATATATATATATATACACATACATATACAGTTTTATCATTTTTAGTATGTAAAGATATATATATATATATATATGGACACATATTTATATTACACACACACACATATATATATATATATATATACATGTGCGTCATATGTGCATACGTGTGTGTGTATATATATATACATATATATATACATGGGTGGCTGTCAAAATTATGGTCCCTTTTTTGGGTACCTTAAATACTAGGTGCCGTATTATATTAAGGACCCAACAAGGGACCATAATTCTGACCACTACCCATATTTATATGTGACGCACGCGCACACACTCACACAGACAGCCCATGAGCAAATCCGTATCACCCAAGTGCGAAGTCCTAACAATTAACTGACCCTAAGCCCTGAAACCTGAACCCTAAAACTAATTTCGTCCGAGACGCGACAGCAAAGCCCCGGAGCAGTGCAGTGACCTCAAGTCGGGCCGACTTCAGGGTCTACCTTGACCGACCCAAAACCTGTTTTTTGTGAGTCCCTATAAATTTCGGTACCTAAACGCCCAGAACTCTATGCCCGTTTCTTTCACCCTAAATGACCACGCGAGATTTTGGCATAAGACTTCCATGTAACGAATACGCTGGGCTTTGTTCAGGGTTTAGGGTAAGCCAGTTGCACAAGCGGGTTGCTTTGGTTGCACGGCTTGATCATTCTGCTAGGTTCTGCATTGCGGCGGGAAAGGTGGTTCGGCTTATGCATGTGGTGGACCCACATGCTTTCCCACTCAAAACGTGCCGAATGTAGCATCGAGCATCTGCTGTTGTTAAACGGCTACCGCGTCAGTCTCTCGGACTTATATAACACCCCAACCCCATCAGTGAAACAGAAACAGCAACAGACCATCTGGCCTCCTGACTAAGTAAGATAGGGTTCTAGCGGGGTATAACATTGTACTATGGTGGTGTAGGTTTGTGGAATTTAAGAAGGAACCAGGGTCCAAACATTCAGAGTATGTTAAACTAAGCTCAGCATTTGAAAGTTCTGCGCAGGATATTGAAAAAGGTTTGTGGAGCTCGCTTCCAGGGCTTGGAGTCTGTGCCACATCCAAGGCCGCCTGGACCTGCGCAACAAGAATACCGAAAGCCCTTTTCAACGGGATTCGAAGTATATTGGGGGGGGGTACATACAGGTTTGGGGGTAAAGCATACTGTCATGTAAAGGAATAGTGCTTGATTTCTTTCTTCAGGCCCACTACGGACCCCCTAAAGCCGAAAAGCCTGACATGGAACTGCAACCTGTGCCTAGCACATCCAGTTCATGCAACCAACCCTTTCAGCCTCAAGGCTTACAACATGTCCCTGCAATAAAGGGATAGGAATACGATTGTTTCTTGTAGAGTTCCTTAGCACAGGCCTAGTTTAGCGTACTCCATGAGAATTCTTCGGGACTCTCTATTCCTCCAACCTCGACGAAATGTCAAACTTTCCCACGCTCATGAACAAGACAAAGCCTCAGCAAAACCCGCCAAAACGTCGCCCAAGAAGCGTGTAGGATAGGAAGACAAGAAATTGCTTCTGGTTCTTTGCTCCAATACCTGGGCATCCCACCCGGCCCCGAATGTCTACACAGTGTCCCAGGAAAGATCTGACGAGCCGAAACCTTCGGATTCGGTGGGTTCGTGTTTGGAGCCCCGTTCCGATAAGCCGTGGGCTTCAGCACCCTTGCTTTAATCTTGTGATTTGGGGGATATCAGCAACATTCGGGGGGCATTTGGGGCAATGCCCGAACGCCAATGAAACAACTAATCAGCGCCACCGGTTGATATGGAGTGGTCATGACACTGTAGGATTGGAGTTCAGCGAGCTTCCGTGCAAGATTCAAGGCTGACGAGGTCGAAAAAGGTCCAGACCGCGACCAAGGCTTGGTGTGTGCACGGATGTCACTGACAGCACATCACATAACACAAGACATGACATACCATGACTTTGCATTGCATGACATGGCATGGTACTTCCTTACACTATATTGCACTAGATTGCACGTGCATGACAAGACGTTGCAGTACCCTACTTGACATTGCACTGTGCAAATATACCCTACCTCTATAACCTCACTTGCGACTTCTCTGGTTTTCGAGTAAACCCAAAGGCGCAATCCTCTGTAGAAGCTTCTTCCGAGCGACAGTTGTTCATCCACATGCCTAGGATGACACTCCGCCATGTTAATGTTGTTTGGAAGGGTCGAACCTAGCTACATAGGGTTTGCAACATCTTAAGGGAGTGGCTTCGTGTTTAGATTCGGGGATTTACGGTCCGCGAATGCAACCAAGGTTTCGGGGATGGGGACTAAGCTCATCAGGCTTTGCCTGGACCATAACGCCCCTACATTGCGGACATAGAGAAGTCATACCCAGAATGGCCTGGCCCTACCTTTCTGCGGAAATGAAGAAAACTCGCAATAAGAAAGCGTTGAGCCCTAACCCTAAACAGTTAAAGGTGTCTACTTGCAAGTTGAAAGGCTTCGATAGGCGTAGTGTTTGGGATATAGGGCTCGGGCTACTGTTTAGGCGGCGTCTTTGGGTCTAATAATGGGGCTCAGGCTTTGGGGTTTTGGGTTTAGGGGGCTGGGTGTCCGAGCTGGAAGCCCAAAGTAGCACTGTAGAAGCCTTAAAACGCGACATGAAGGCTCCATGCGAGAAGCAGAGAAGCAGCTCCTCTTGGGATGATCCTTCTTAGTCCTTGGTCCTTAAGTTGATGACTTATGAAGTCGGAGTTGGGCTGTTGGGCATCGGCGCAGCCTTCATCTTATAGGCTTGAAAGGGGGTTCCACGGGGAGCTCCACGTGCCTTTCTGCAGTACCCTCCCCTCTGGCTCTTCGTCCACACCATCACAAGACGTCGGGGTTTAGGAGCCAAGGGTTCAGGGGTTAGGGTTTCTGGTATAGGTTTCTGGTCGTTCGGGGTTTTGGGTTCGGGGGTGATGCGAAATTTCCAGCTTCAATGCGAACTCTGAATAAACTTTGAGCACTCCAGAAAAGTTGCAATGGTGGTCCATCTTCTTGATGCAGCGCTGGCACGTAGAGCAATGGTGCACGCGATAGGTCTTCACCAACTGAGGCCGAGAAATCTTCAAAGCGAGAACAGTTTGTAGTTGAACAAATGGCTCCCCTGACGTACAGCAGCCATTGCCCTGTTGCCAAATTGGAACAACAACTTCTGCACTTGTGTGACATCTTGTGTGAGGAATTGATACCTTGAGTGGAAACCACTCAGAGATCCTACTTCCTGACCACCGCATGCCATAACAAGCGCAAGAAAGCGGTCCTAGGGCGGATCTGGGCCTGGCAATGCTTGCACCATCGCACCTCCGGGGCGCCCTCCACATCCTCGCGGTTCAAGCTTTGGGTTTCGCGTTGGGGCCGGTTGGGGTTCAGTGTTTATAAAATTGGTTGAGTTTTCAGGCTTGTAGGCTTTGTTTGCTTTGGGGTCTTTGGTTTGAGGTTTACAGTTGTGCCGGCTAAGGTATGGTTGCATTTTGTAGTGGAGGGCCAATATCTTCCGGGAGCGGTAAACTTGAGGTTACGCGTCCTGAGCTTTTACAGCCTGTGGTTTGCACGTAAGTAACGCCTGAAAGGATTTGGGATTGAGGGTAATCAAAACTAAAGTAATTGCCGTGTAGATTCAAGCTGTTGTGGCGCTGCGGTGCATGGGTCGGCATATTTGCAGATGTGCATAGCAAAGAGCCATATACGCAGGGTGAGATAGTGAGCATCGCATGTTTGGCTACGTGTTACTTACTAATTACTGCAGTTTGGACTAACCCGACTCTTAACCTGCAGCCAGGCAAGAGGCTGAGGCATTGTTGGGTTGCTCGTGGCGGTGGCTCCCCAAGAGCCTACCACCCTGAATTAGGAAAGATACCTGAACTCATATTGTCGATCCGTTTGGGTTGTGATGTTCGGATCTTCTTAGAATTTCTAGAGGAGTCCTGTTGAGATTTCGTGTTTTCCTCAGTTGAGGGGCACCGGGCTATCAAAGCCACTCCGTTCTTTCTTGCCCGAGAGCCTGTCTTTCGACTACGTCGGCCTTGAAAGGCTTTGATGTGCGCCGTAGCAGAAAGTAGCTTTGAAGCAGACATTCGTCCTCCAACCCTAAGCCCTAAACCCTAGGCTTTGCAAGCCATCTTCACACAGTACCCCTCACCCAGCATATCGTGAACCTGAACGAGTAACAATCAATATATGTACCTGTACATGTGTTTGTACTGTAAAGAACCCCAAAACCCTAGAAGCATTGATGAGTCCTGAAGAAAAACAGGATACTAGCCCTCGATATTTAGGGTTGCAGACTTAGGGTTCTATATGACGGCACCTGCCTTCGGCGCCAGGGCCTCTGCAGAGCCCCGTGGCATGGCACCTCCGGCCGCCGGGGGCATTGGGCTGAGGTTTGAGGTTCAGGGCAGTCTAGGGTGCAGGGTTCAGGGTCTAAGCTGGCAGGTGTAACGGCAACCCCCAAACAAGGTTGAAGCAGGTGCGGTTGCAGACAGAAGAAGATCCGCTGTCAGAACAGTCCGGTCGTCAAGTCCAGAGCAACATGCAACGTTCTACCAGAGTTGCTGAGAGCCTCTATCATCATGTGAAGTAAGATCTTATTGTAGTTTTTGCAAACCTGAGAAGAAGGACACCAAATCATTCACTTACCAAGACTCCTAAGGAGGCCTGTATATCCTCACCACAGCCCTGACATATACCCTACTTCACATAGCTACTAGGGCCTAGGAGGTCTCGGTCTTGGGCATGAGATGACGTGATCCTGGGCGAAGTGCTTCTTGCAACCCACCCAACCCTAAACCCTCCACGCAACAGTCTAGGGCGTCTAGGGTGGCGGTCGGGACCCCGCGGCCCTAAACTCGTCGAGAACCAGACGCCCGATGTTACAACCCCAGCCTTGCACGACACCCTTCACCCCACATGTAACCCTTACCTTACGGGTCCATGTGCCGACATTGCAGAGTACACACTGAAGTCGGCCTTGTGCAGTTACCCCAGCGCGAAAGCATATTCTATATGACTACAAGGGCTGTCAAGGTTGCCGCAACCCTGACTCCTGGCCTGGATCCTGCAGTGATGTGGCCAAGTGTGCCCAAGCGGCAAGGAGCCACGTGGCCTCCCAAAGGTGTGAAGATCAGGGATCCCAGGCTCTAGAGTCTAGAGGGCTTATAAACCCAAAACCCGAAACCTATCAAGGGTTTCAGGCTCAGTTGCTGTACGAGGTTTGCACATGCGCAGACTCCGCTCAGTCAACTTCAGATAAAGACGGAGCGGCTCTGATGCACGGCGATCCCAAATCGAGGTGGAGGCCTTAGAGTTGGTTGTGGATATACTTGAACCCCGAAAGGAACATCAAGAAAACTAGAACGGGGTTTGGAGGTATAGTATGATAGGAATACCGGAGTGATTGGCCCCAACGCCTGGATGCCTTCCACGTCAGATAATTCTTCTGCCACATGCAGACACCGCAGAGAATCACAGAAAGCGTCGCATGGAACCTTGAAGTCTCAACTACTTTTAAATGACCGACACCCTAAACCCGAAACACTACACACCCCAAACCGCCCCAAACCCCAAACCATAAGCCCTAAACGTCCCTAAATCCCCTGAAAAGGTCTCCAGAACCACGAGAATCCATCGATGCTTTAGCCGATTCTGGGCTACAATTAAAGGTTCGCCTCCATAAAGTGGCTTTAACCCGTGCCGTCGCTCGGGCCTCGTGCCATATCAGGAAAGGCACGGTGACGGGGCCCAGGAAATTGGCCTGAAGAGAGGGGTCCAGGAAGCTACCAGGTTACCAGGGGATCTCTCCAAGCTGGGGTGCCCTTGAAAAGTTTCCTGCGCTTCATTCAGGTTCAGGGTCTGCAGTATTTGCGTCACTCGGGCCCCTTGTGACTTCGATGTTTGCGTAGCAAAAGAGAAAGTATGCATGTGAGTTTGAGTCAGCACAAGCCTGCGATGGCGGATTCATTGCTCTCGCAGCCAAGGTCGCCGGGGCAGTACAGCTCTCATTCTCCATTCGAGCTTGCTTGGGATTACATGCAATGAATGCAAAAAGAAGCAAGAACATCACGCCGCCGACAAAACAACAATGCGATTTAAAACCCAAACGCAGAACACCCTGAACTCTGAAAACCCAGACCAAGAAAGCCCTAAACCCCAAAATCCGGCAGCGAGTTAGCAGGGTGTGCAGCTTCAGAGCCTGCACTGCACCAAGCAATCCGGACAAGGCCAGGAGAACCTGGTCGCTTGAAGGAAAAGAGCTTTGTAACTCATGTGCTAGCCACCCTAAAGCTTCAATCGTGTGCTCGAAGGGCATTGGTTTACAGGGCTCTATAGGAGTGAAGCAGGAAACCACAATGGCCTGCAGTAAGCAACCCTTCGAAGTACTGTCGCATCTAACGTCCAGCTGGGCGTCGTGCTGCTGTAGTCAGCCTTTTAATAGTCGAAGGTCAAGCGGCATGTACGCTGGAAAGCCACAGTCGGGTTCCGAAATTGATGTTTCCGTGCACACTGCCAGGAGGATGGCTCTCTTCTGATCGTAGGTCACATTTATTATGCCACGCAGAAGCAGAAAAGTAAACCTGAGAAGAGCTGGCACATCAGTCGTCCGACACCCCAAAAACACGCTTGAATAATCTCGGGGCCTGCATACTGTTCCTAAGGGGTCCTTAGTAGCTGCCCCAAACCACTGCTCCAATTGTGAAAACTCCTAAATTATACTTGAGCTTTACATGGAGGTCCGGTCCTAAGCCCCACATCGACAGTTTAAGCTTCATGCGCAATCCGTGAAACCCCGTCGGTTGCAGCCGGGATGCCTGGGCAATGATGACCTGAACCCCAGACTTGCTGCTACAGGGCTTTATGATGTTTTCTTGCTGTTTTTTAATGACTTGAAGGGCTAACGGCCTTTTAAGACCACATTATCGTGACAGCACAAAACGTGTGGCTGTCCAGTTTAGGTAAGCCCTGGAACCTGAATAAACCCGATTTCTGATATGCTCTGTTGAACTCGCATGTAGCTTGCATGTTGGACACAAGGATTGGAGCGCTCCAACTTAAACCCTAACCCCTAAACCAAACTAAGTTTTGAACTGTCGGCTCCGGGCCTAAAGCGAAGCCTAGCATAGGGCGTGAATAACTAGAACAGGGTTGGAGTTATATCGCAGGATCTTTAAACAGGGTTTTGGGGTATCATCTATTGTCGATGACACTATTTGTTGCATTGCGGAAACCTGACAAACTATTATTATCCCAGAAAGAAACGGTTTCAAACAGAAAAGATCCAGGGAACCACAAAAAGAACCTAAGTAGGAGCCTCTGTATTCGGATTATGTATTTTGAAACCAAACAGGTCATTAATTTGCTACTAGGATTCCTAGTTCTCTCGACCCCTGAAGACCCTTTAACACCCTAAACTAAAATCCCTAAAACCCTTGAACACCTAAACCCTAAGCCGACTGGAGTTTGAGTCGTGAACGAAGAAGCACCATCGAAGAAGCGGGGGCTTAGCGGCTTAGGGCTTTTCGGGTTTAGGGCTCCAGAGTTTTTAGGTTTTAGATTTTGGGGTTTAGGGGTTCGACCAGGGGGTTACCTGGGGTTCAGGCTGCCCGATTTCCTAAATGGTGATGGCTGAGTGGAACAGGGTAAGAGACGGCTCGAAAGTCCGTAAAGGTGCACGGAAGTGCCGTGCGCCGAAATCTTCGCCCGTTCAGGTCTTCGGTATGGTATACCCTGAACCCCAAACCCTAGGCCGAACATTCACAGGAGGCTAGGGAGGTTTTTGTTCCGACGATGCAAGACGCGCTGGGAGGCGGGTTATTGGGGCCTGGTGTTCGTGTTTTCTGCTTGGCGCATCAGGTTTTAACACGTTGCTTCTGAATCCGGTTTTGTGATTCTCCCCAATAAGCCAAGTGCGAAGCACTCACGATCTTTGAAAGAGTTCGAAACTCACAACCCAAGCCCAAGCCCCACAAATGCAACTGTAAATGTCACAAACCCTCGACCACAAACTACAGCCAGAGAGCATAGTTTTGACCACAGGGGTCGTCGACCCACCTTGAATAAGTACTTTGGGTTTCGGGCATGTCTCAAGTGTTGTGAACTTGGGTTTCGGGGCGAGGGGCTTAGCGTCTACTGAGGTGAGGCTTCATCCCAAGGTTCATGTTGGAGGTTCTCACCATACCAACACACAGTTTTGGGGTTCCTTGTTGTAAGAGTGGTGCCGTCGTGTTGGGCTCGAATGTTGAGAAAGACCCGCTTGGACCTTGATGGATCCATGCTCTACAGCCAAGCTCAAATCGCCCTGCTCTCCAGTATTGTGCGGATTTAGAAAAATTTAGGGGACAGGCCAACATAAGGATATCACACTATGGAAGCCTGTCGAAAACAGTAAAATTTAAGGTTCTTGCTCCAGAAATATGTGCGCTAAATCCAAGCCCTGTGGGGTCTGTGCGATTCAGAAGCAACTGCAAACACACGGCGTATCCGAGGCAGAGAGTATGCACTTGTATCACAGGAGCTTGTGCGACGGGTTTGAGTTAAGCTTTAAGCTTTTTTCTCTGTACGTAGTTTGGGATCTAAGGACCTCAATTTAGCACTTCGGGCAATAATGATAGTCTTCAATGTCTTAGGGTCGCCTATTGGCTGGGGCTTGGGGCTTGCTCGAACACATTGGAGCCCTTGGAATAGTTCGTGTTCCTACATCAAGTCTCACCCGCGCTTCTTTCAGTGACACCGCCCCTAGCTTACGTCTCTAGTCTGCAGGCAATCTCGTAAGTGGCAAAAGCTTAGCCCTGAACCCCAGCCCCGAAGCCTCAAGCCCTCAAGCGCGGCCGTTCAATCTTCACTCCCGACACGCAAATCGTGCGACTTGAGCACAGGCGGTCTCCTTCTTGGGGCATAATATGGCCATCGTACAACCATCAACTCTTGAGACCCTGAGCGCAACAGCCTGAACTTAAATTCCGAGTCCTGGAGACTAGAGAAAGTAAGACCCGCTGCAGGCAAGGGGCCACATTTTCTGGGAGGGACCGCCCAAAGACTCCCCCGGCTTTCGGCCCATGGGCGGCAAGCCACAGGATCTTCAGCTCGGGGACGACGGTCCCGGCTCCAGCAACACTCTCATATGGGCTGAATTTTAAGTATTTGGGGCCCTACAAACAAGTACTTGAAGGTAAGTAGCTGCGGCCGTCAGCACTTTGCCCGCATCGCTGTCAGTCTGGCTAGGCTTCAGGAGCTGGCATCGAAGTGTTTCGGGAGTGCGAGGTACATGCCGGGCTCAGCTTAAAGACTGGATGTCGGGTATTCAGAGTAAAGACAAAAAGCACGGCGCAGGCGAATAACTCTGAAGCCAGAAGCCGATGATTCCAGTCGCACGTGGCGCTGTCCGAAGCCGGAACGCTGAGAAGCCTGGGACCCTATAAACCCGCGCCCGGCTCAACTCATTGATGATCTTGGTGCTCTTGGTTGTGTGCTCTATCGCCCTACCACAGAAGATTGTGGTAATTATGAAGGCCCCTATATTACGGGTCCCGGGTCGGGGAGAGGACCGGCTCGGAGTCTCACAGCTTAAGATCTCATCCAGTGCAGTATGGTTCTTGATGCAAACCCTAAGAACTAAGACTTCAGGGCTGAGGTTTTAGCGTTTGCGGCCTAGGGTTGATTAGAAGACAGAAAGTTGGAACATCACTCCCCTGATGCCCCTGGGGTAAAGTAGAAGGCATCGCATTTTTTCATGTTCCAACTTTCTGGGGTTCACTGTAGGCCGTATAAAGCCCAAGTTACCTGCACGAAGCCCTCGCTCAGTCTCCAACCTCAGCCTGAATCCACCACTCCCAGTCCCTACCTTTGGGATTTTAAATGGGCCCAAAACAAACCTACCCCGTTTCAAAACATACATACATACAGAAACCACAACTGCAACAAGGAACAACCCAAACGTAGGCTTTCTCAATAATTGTAGAATCAGAAGCCTTACGAAAAACACCGGAAACGCCTGAAGCTCTCAACGCTAAACCTGGGAACCTTAAACTCTAAGCCCCACAAAAACACACTAAACCCTGAAGCGAACAACTACAATTTCTGAACCCTACCCCGAACCCTAATCGTTTAACCCTAAAAACCCTAAAGCCTGAAACCCTGAAGCCCTCAAAGCCTACCCAAAACCCCGAAAATATCTAAATCCTACACCCTAAAAGTTCTAAATCCTACCCCGAACCCTACACCCTAAAAGTTCTAAATCCTCAGCCCTGAAACCCTGAAAGCCTAGGGTTTAGGGTTTAGGGTTTAGGGGTTTAGGGCCCTTTTGGGCTCCCGGGCCGATGATTGGCCCGCAGGGGAGAAGCTGGGACCCGGAAGTCCGAGGTCGCAGCGGAGCCTGGCTCCGTTTCGAACTCCCCTTTTTTTCTGTCCCTTTTTTTCTGTCCTTTAAGGGTTCCTTTAAGGGTTACTATAAGGGTATACTATAGGGGTTACTATAAGGGTTACTATAGGAGTTTACTATAGGGGTTACTATAAGGGTTACTATAGGAGTTTACTATAGGGGTTACTAGGGTTCTTAGTAGACTCCGTTGTGTCTGCTTTCTTTTTTCCTGTGGTCTCTGGGGTTGGGGTTTAGGGGTTCAGGGTTTTTTTGGGTTTTAGGGGTTCAGGGGTTTTTGGGGTTTTGGGGTTCAGGGTTGTTTGGTGGTTTTGGGGTTCAGGGTTTTTTGGGGTTTTGGGTCTCTTGGGTTTTTAGGTTTATATGACTTCTCGGTAGAGCTTTAGGGCTTGCTTTTAACAGGTTTGTGCAAGGTTTTGGAGCTTAGGTTTTTTTCTGTGCGGTTTAAACCTTTAGGACTTTAGGACCTATAGGGCTCGTAATCGGGTGCATAGGCTTTGGGGGTTTAGGTCTAGGGCATTTAGAGTCTAGGCTTTTAGGGCTAGGGTTGGGATTTTTCCGATTCAGGGTTTAGGGTTGTGGTAGGGGCAGCCCAGGTTGGAGCAGGGGAGGATGTAAGGTTCTTCTTGTCGGGTTGAGTGTCGTGTTCAATATGGGAGTAGGATTTAGAATCTCCGGTTCAGGCTACATCCACCTACTAGGCACCATAGCTCCTCCAGCTTCCAAAAGCCTCTGGAGGACTTCTTAAAGTGTCTACGCACCTCTACCTGCTGCAACTGCAACTGCAACTCCTTGTCCTACATTCTCCTACTCCCACTCCTACACCACACCTACTCCTACTCCCACTCCTGCTCCTACTCCTAGTCCCAGTCCCGCTCCCGCTCTCACTCCGACTCCTCCTACTGCTACTCCGACTCCTGACCCTACTCCTACTCCTACCCCTCGTTCTACTACTACCCCCACTACTTCTGATACTATGACTACTACGACTGCGACCACGAGGACTGCAACTACCACGACTACGACAAGTACTTGCTGCCACTCACCTTAGACTAGACCCAAGAGTAACCTAGGAACAAAAAGGGTGCCCTTTTGGTTTAAAGGGGCTTCTAAGGGAACCTGAACCCTACAAAAAGGGAATAAGGGCCTACTCTAGGTCCTAGTAGATATGCCCTACTGCCACTAGGACTGGGGGGCGGTGTGCAAATCAGGCGCCGGGGGTGCACATCACCAGTCTGCGACCAAAGAAAAAGCCAAGGAGCGGAGCGCGAGTCGCCTTCTGTCAAAGCTTTCCAGGGGTTTAAGGGGTGTGTGTGGTTTAGGGTTTAGGGTTTAGGGTTTAGGGTTTAGGATTTAGGTGCAGGGGTGTAGCTTTTTTGGGCTTTCGGGCTGCAGGTGAGGCTTTGGGGTGTAGGTATATATGGGATCGTCAGGGTGCAGCGCTTAGGGTGTAAAAGATGCTAGAAGCGCCCTAAACCCCCGCTTAACCAAGACCCAGACCAGCTTGCCTTGCCCGAGTTTTGGGAGGGGGGCTCTGTCAAGATGATTGCGACAGGATCGCAATGTTCCAACTTTAATTAGCATTCCTCAAACGCCATTCCATCGGTACCCCAGAGGCTAAGCCCTCTCGGAACCCAGCACCGCCAACACCCTGATGCGAATGCCAAGAATTCAGAACCTGATCCTTGAAGCCAAGCTCTCTGCCGTTGCCTTGCACCAACCTCGCGGCGGCCAAAAGTGGCAGTGGCTCGGAGCGCAAGCGTGAGATCTGCGGGAGTGCGATCTGGATCTGTATGCGCGTGCATATATGTATGGGTGCACGCATGTCTGTGGCTATGGCTAGGTCGAGGTCCATGTCCAAGAGGTACATGTATCTGCATGTGCATTTGTGTTTGTGTCGTGTATGACCGTATCTAGTATCTACCTGCTCGTCCTTGCATCCGACGCACACACACACATATACATTCACACATGGTCGCGACATGTGCAGTATCCATATTCCTGGAAGTGCTGTACGTATCCGTACGGCATCCAGTGTACACATGGCGTAACAACACGATGCACAAGGTAGTGCCCACAAGCAGAAGCACAAACATAGACAGAAGCACCGCTGGCAAAGAAAATCATGCACATAATCAGGCGACAGTGTGCTATGACACGCGCACGAGGAGAAAAACACAAGCAACGACACCGAATATCAAATCATATAATTCAACAAACACAAACCATACAGAGTAATCGAAGCACGAGAGAAACTGCGGAGCAACAAAAACAACACTGTGAACAGTTCTTCGCGACACGGTCTGTCATGTACTAGTACGGGGCATCCCGTACAATCCCTTTGATGCGTAAGGCCCTGTGCCTGTGTGCAGGAATGCCCGTAAGATCATTCATCCTAAGCCCCGTAGACTACGAAACAAGCAGACTCGACGAGAACCCTAAACCCGGTACAGCCGGTGCCTGAATGGGCGATTGTCCGGGCTGGTCCTGTGGGCTCGTCGAAGATGTTGCCCACTTGTATTGATACTACCGATCGTCACATACTAGTAGAAACATGATTAGCAATGTACTTGTCAGCATTGTCATTCGTTCATGCTCTACAATATTGTTAAGGCTGCCGTATGATTTATTCCGATTCCTATTCTTATCCTTGTGATCATCTTTATTCGCTTTATTATAGTCCTAAGGTTCAACCGAGGACCAACCTTCGGGTATAGCAACCCTTCGGGAGCCTTTTAGAGGAACCTTAGAACCCTGAACCCCTAAGCCCCACCTCCCCAGGTGAAGATCCTCGAGATGAAACAAATAAGCTTAAATTCAGTGGCTTGCACGAGACGTGCTGATGGTAAGCCAATGTGTCTCTGCAGCCTGGCCGCTTAATCGGTTCATACGTCTTCGCCTAGCGTTCTCGGAAAACACCGAGGTTCAATCTTACCACTTGTTCATCCAGGTCGGCAATCAACATCGCAGCCTTCGTCGCCTCACGCGCCCAAGTAACTAAACCACCAACTCCCTAAGATGACCCTTCGAATAAACCCGTCTAGTAACCCTTCTGAAACCTTCAACCTAAGCCCTAAGCCCCCAACTCCCTTAACCACCAACCCAAGCCCCAAAATCCCCTTAGATAACCGTTAGTACTAATACTAAACGAATATAGCAGCCCTTCTAGAACCCTGAGAGGAACGGTAAAGCCCTAAACCTCCCTAAACCCTAACACCCCTAACACCCCTAAACTTAAACTCTGCAAGGACCTCAAGGCTTTCCGCCTGACTTTTACGGCTCAGTGGCCCCTGGCAGGGCCTTGATAGGGCAAGGGTTTTATGATAGCTTCGGTGGAGGATGTATTCGACTGTTGGATTTGGGGTTTGGGGTTTGGGATCGGTGGAGGACTTATCAGGTTTCTGTCGCGGGGGAGTTGTATAAGGCTGCAACATGGGCATCTCAATGTTCAGAATGCAGTCTTGGCGTAATTAAATATGTTTTTGGTCATTTACTACCGGCAATTCCAGACATCTATCATAGGGCAACCAACCCTAACCGCAAACAACGAAAACTTGGCTCAACGTTGTTTCGTTCTCTGCGTGCTTTCTGATTGATAATGCAGGCACACTAAACATCTGCTTCTAAAGTGCCTGCTGCTCACATCCACGTAGGACATGTATAGTCAACACGAACACCTGTTG